CTCTTTTTTTACCATTAGCAATGCATGAAAAATAAACATGATAGCCCACATCATATAAAATTACAGATACAGGAGTCACATTTCAATCCTTAATGGACAAACACAAAATTTGGTATAGAGACCAAAGCTGCTGAAGATGAACTGTATAAATAGGAACTGACTCATCATTTATATAGGTCAGGCTCAGTTTGACCTATACCAACTTATAGCTAGTTATTTTATTTATTTGTTTTGTGCTATTTTAGCAAGCTTTTATGCATCTAACATACTTGTGAACAAAAACAACAACAAAAAACCAAAAAGAAACATGTCAGTTGTAGCATTATTTGCTCAAAGTCCTCCTTTGGCCAAGAACAGCCTGAAGTAGCTGCTGGCATAGTTGCAGACTTTAGTTTTATATATATATATATATATATTAGAAATGAACTGTTAGAAATCATGTTTTAACAATCAAAGTTTTGTTTTAAAGCAAATACACAAGCATATAAGCATATCAAATTTCCCTGTTGTCCGACTGTTCGTTACACTTATAAAACAAAATTGAGAGTTACATCTGCAGAAACAAAGCTGGCAGCACAGCCCTGCACTTTGCAACGTGCAAAGGCACAAAGAGGATTTGACACTTGCCTTCCTTGCGGTTACGGACCTGCTTTTTCATGTCAAAGAGAATCACAAACCCCTGAGAGGACTTATAGGTTTTAATTTACTCTCATTTAGAGCCTTTATGTGGCATCTATATCATATAGGCACCAAAGACATTCTCAGAGGGTTTGTGGCGTACAATTTTTGCAGTGTCACTCACGTCCACAAAAATACCATCATCCTTATAAAGGTGAAACACTCCACCCAGGTAACTGTTGGATTGTGTTTTTTGACTGACTTTTGAATGTGAAGGATATTTCCTGGACTGCAGGAGGGTGATATTCCCTGAATACCTGTCAGTATGCATGCTAATACGATGCTGAAATCCGTTGCTGTCTGAGAAGAAAACCTTGGAATAGACATAGTAATAACCCTCTTTCTCAATTTTAAGCTCTCTGTCTTTGTAGGTCATTTCATAGAGGAGAGGCTCTGCATTCATGCTCCATGCCATTTTGTTTTTTGCATGAGCTACATCTTGTCCATCTGAAAAATATAAGAACAAATGTAATCATTCTAATAAAATAAAGTGCAAACATCACACTGTGAAGAGCAATATGTACTTAATTAGGCATCTTGGTAATAACTGAAACATTATGTTTCTGGCAGTTAGGGAAATGCTGTTTTTACCTGTCAGATGTGCAACCGGTTTGGAGGGAGGAATACCATAACTGGGTTGTTTAGTGGCAGTTGTAACTGTGAGAGGACGAAACATTATTTATGTAGTGTGGAATAAGTAAACGGAAGGTGCTCGTCATCTGTGTATAAAGTGCTGAGACTCACCTCCGATGAGCTTAGAGATCGATTCTGAGTCGGTCTGCAACGAAAACGAAAGAGGGTTAATGTATTTTTAATGTGCATTTGCATTTTTGAGCGTGCACATGTAGATGCGTAGATGCAATCGGCTCTTGTGGATAACAAAGTTGTGAAAATAGAAGTTTAACAATATTAAAATGTAATTGTAACAGGCATTGTTTTTCTGCAGAGCATGGTAGGACAGAAGAAGGTAGATTGCTATCATGATACCGGAAGTAGACCACTTCCTTTTTGCCATCATCCCTTGTTTGTACACTGTGCACACACTCAAAAACGCCACTGCTGTTATTGTGTTCTATAATACGTGACAGCTACCCTAACACAGTGCATCAGTGCTGTACAGGAAACTGACTCTGTACGTCCACCGCCTCAGAAAGTATGTCTGCCCCCTCCCCACATGCACGTCATTAAAGTTGTCCGTAAATGAGCTGGACTTTAGAGTACTTCTCCATGTGTGCTTGGCCCTCTTCCCCATAATAGTGAAATAAATTCATGATCAGCAGTTTTTACTGAAAATAAATTCATCTCAGCAGAATTTCTATCACAAGAGCCCCTGTGTTTGCGTCACAAACCCTTCCAGATACCCAGACATACATATTGCATAAAGAATCGCTGCAATAGGATCTTCTCTAAGTCAAACTGTTATTCTATTCTATTCTGTTGTGGAAATTTACATTTTTAATAACTTTCTCACATACAGCTCAAAGTAATCTACATTTTTATGCCTATTTATGCATCTACATGTTTAATTATGACAATATCAATGATATAAAACAAAAACTCAGGTTTAAAGAAAATCAAGACCTGTAGCAATCTGCTGTGACCTTTAACCAAACGCATTTCTGATTACGAATACTTCTGATTGAGTGAAAGTGTTATTAAAATGACTGACAGAAAATATGTAGGAGAATACTGTGAAAAAGTACGAAAAGAAAACTGGAAGTGAGAACACTGCGGTAAACAATGAATAAACTCTTACAATGAAAGCGAGATTCAGAGGCGTTGAAACAGATATTTAATGGAAAAAAAGATCTACCGAGACAATGAGCTAATAAGAAATCATAGAATGAAATTGCAAAAGGTACAGAAATGGTGATACTTACATGTTCGGCCTGGTAGAGTCCATAGATGAAGCATGCTTCTATGACCATGCCGCACAGCGCCACGCTCACCAGCATGAAGAGCAGGATCTGAGCCACCCCGGTCTTTTTTCGCACCTGGATCAGCCTGGGGGGCACTGGAGGCCTTGTGGCATGGGTGTCCACCACACACACAGAGGGATATTTAATCTTCTCCATACTTTCTGGGTTTTTTCTGTAAATGGAAAAGAATTCAGTGAGGCGCTCTCACTGAAGTAGCTGCTGCTACTTCAAAAAGACAGTAAAGACAGAGAGACCTGAGAGACAGGCAAGTGTGAAGAAGTTTCAGAATGGGTGGGCTTACTTCTGGTTGGTTCAAGTGGAGCAAACTTACCAGCAATCAGAGACAGAAGTCTTGAGATGTATCACCAAAGCACCTTTGAGAGCTTCCAACGTGCACTTGAACTGCACGCACCCAAAGGATACTCCGAGGTTATGTCACTCTTTCCAGTGTAGTCAATAAATCGTTTTTGAAGTGTCACGGTTGAAGGCGACATTCAGTGAGTGGAAGACCCAGAGCAATGCATTCTGACCTCCCCATTTACACCCTCCCACTTCAGTGCAGCAGCAGTGCAGAATGTCTCCAGTCCCACTTCCTCCCTCGTTAACACTCTCTTTGGTCTGACAGTTACAGTAACAGACCAAAGTTGTACACACATGTCCTTTGTCACTTTAAGCACATTTGTGAAAGACCCTAAAAGGTCACAAGCCACCTTAAGTAATGGGTTTAAAATGTATATATTTTCTCCCAAGGCTTGGTTATTTTACGAGAAAGTATTTTGAGGTTTAAACAGTATGCATATTCCATCCAGTCAGTGCTGGTAATACGTAGCACTGGTTAATATAATTTTTCATTATCTTCACTAGCATCTAATTAGTAAACAGTTAGCATCCCATTGGTTAGCAGGAAAAAGTCGTTTAGCTTCTACATGAGGGTGATAACAGTCATGGGGGAAAAAATATGCACACCCAATGCAATTTGTCGGACGCTTTCCCTACAGATAAACATTTTATGCTTGGACACAGGGGAAATTAGTTAATTTAAAAAATGTATAGGTGTAATTTTCCACCAATCTGTTACATAGTCTTAGCGTAAAATACAAGAACATGTCATTTCAATCTTGCCTTTGACTTAACTTTCCACTTCACTTCTTCTTTTTGAGTGATTCCTTCTTAAGTCGTTCCTTGGTGTAAAGGGCCATCGCTGTCTTAAAAGTCCACTCAGCTTTGGCACAGATGGCTTCATGTTAAGCAGAATGCAGAATGAAATCAAAGCTGAATGGCAATGGCAGAGAGCCGTTTATCCCCCAGGAAACAAACAACCACAACACAATAAAGTTTCCATCAGTATGTGGCAAAGCTGTCCTTGGTTGGTCTGCTGTTAGTGCTGCTGAACAACTCTAACTTTGATTTGTGTCTCCAGAGCACAATATTCCAAACGACCTGTAAGGTCATTGCAAACTGCTGTTTTGCTCTAAACAGCTGCAACGGTTTTGCAATGTAGGTCAAATGTGCAATCTCTGGTTGATTCGAGATGCATGCACTCTAACCCTCATACCTGACCTACAGTTCCTGTAATGGCACTTTAGGGTTCTTGCATCAAACAGTTTGTTCTTGGGATGATGTGGTGGACTAGTTTTTGAAAAATCGACATTGCTTTTTTAAGACTATACTTATTTTACCTAAAATAATTTAGGGATTCTTTTAAATTCTTGCCAGTCTCATAGGTACAAAAAATATTTTTTCTGAAGGCCACACAAAGCTTCTTTTTTTTTGAAGATATGGATTTAATAGTGGAATTTCTTTCAGTTATTTACCTACTTCAATTTTTGTTAAATGTCATTGGAAGCACCACCTTCCCACTCCACCACCCACCCTTAGGGGGTGGAGTGGGTGTAGATGAGTGTCAGGGATGATTCTTGACAGAAGGATAGCGACAACAATGGAAGGGAAGGTTTACAAGATGACAGTGAGACCTGCTATGACAGAGTTAGAGAGACAGGGCTGAGATGGTTTGGACATGTCCAGAGAGAAGCTTAATGGATGGAATGAACTGAGTACATTAAATGTATCAATATTCACCATTTAGAAGATCCAAGAAGGTTAAAGCTCAGTTTTAGTGAGATGTACTTTGTCACTGAGGCTTCAGTAGGTGAGGGGCTGGACAATTTCACATTCTGATGAGAAAAGATGTGATGGACATACGGGGAAAGACATTTTACCAGCTTAGTGCTGAAAAGGATTCCCGACCTTTGACCTTGTAGTGGACTATACACGTAAATATAACAAAGTACAAGATTACTGTTAAATACTGTCACTAATACAGTTCCAGCATGTCCTACAACCCAACAAATACCATCATCATCATAAAATACATCCTCAATTAGATTAGATAACATTTCTTGTAAGAAAATGGCAGATGGAATAAGCACAGAGCCGAGGCTACTGTTTGGAGAAGCCCTCAGAGAGGACTGATGGAGGCTCCCTGACGAGGCAGATCCCCGTAAACTAATGAGAAGCCTGAGAAATGAGAAATGAAAAAGGGGAAGGAAGCGTGGGGGTACATACTTTCAATAAAACTTCTGTTTAAGCATGTTCCAGTGATCTACCAGCTGCTTGGATTGTATTAGCATATTAGTGTATGAGCTTACCATACCATCCTTTTAAAGTAATGTATGTGAAGTGGTTCTGAAATATGCTAGTAATGGACAATATGATGAAGTGGTTTCCATTTGATCATTCTAAACACCTGCTTAGGAATACATGATTAATGATGATTTAATGTGTACATGATGCAATGAAAGTGAGAGAGCAACGATGCAAGGTGAATCATAGGATGAAAATATATATTTGATGACAAAAGTATGACAAACAGAAACAAAATATGACACAGAGCACTATAGAGGAAGTGAACATTAATTTGAACTTCCTTTAATGCTGTTTGTCTGCTGACCCAAGGGACCTAAGACAGTTTAATTAATTCCTAATAGCAGTGGTAAATGTCTTTTATTTGTCCTATCATTTTCACATCTTCACTTTGAGTGTTTCTTGGGAGAGACTGGCAGGGGGAACAAGCACAGATCTAGGCCTGAGACTGTTGTTTGGGGAAGGCCTCGGTGAGGACTGGTGGCAGATCTCCATCTACCAATGAGAGGCGTGAGAACTGGGAAAGGAGAGGGAAGGTTGGGCAAGAAAAGTCAGAAAATAATGAGCTTTTCATACTAAGATTTTATTACTCACTCTGAAAAGAGAGAAGTCACATTTAGTCACATTCAGTACAGTATTACATAATTTTCCTTTCTTTATCTCTTTATTAAATTAAGAAAAGTGTTTGTTCAGTCTGTCGCCCTCCAGTGATTTGTAAATTGGCACTTGCTCTGTGGTTTTGGGTTTCGTTGATTTGTTTTGGGGGTTTTCTTCTTCTATATATCAAGAATAAAATAATAAAGTGACAGAGAAATCACATCACATAGTCTCTAGGCTGTAAATAAATGATCTTCCATTGAAAGACCGTTCAATGGAAATCACTCAGCAACATTTGCTGTGAACACTAAACTCAGCAATCATGGACCCAGTCTCCACAAACTCAAAGCTTTATGATACAACGTATATTTATTTATTCATGAAGTCATCATAAATCATGTTTGTGCCTCTTTTTTTTAATATCAAGCCTGCTTTCTATTCTTTTTTTTTTTTTTATCTCATCAACAGCTCCACCTAAAGGAAAATGTCAGGTAGTTCGCCTACAACGTTAGTGATCTTACGTGTGTAAAAACCAGAAAATTAAGAGAAAGGGGAAATGAAATGTGCAAAACATAGCACTTTTGTCTTCGAAGAAATTTTGTAGAATTTTTTATTTTTTTTAAACAAACCAATTACTTCATGTCAGCTTTGTCAGCTCTGCTGTTCAGACCGCAAAGCGCTATTGGTCGCAACGGTGGCTCCACTCATTGAGCTTTTAAGGGAAGCGGTGCTATCTATTGGCTATTCTCCAACTGTCAGAGTGCGAGTAAGCAATTAGAGATATGCAGAAAACTGTGTAGCAAATGTGTAACAAGTGGCTCATAGTTGGTGAAAGTAGAATAAATGGACTATGCACTGCCACCAAAACATGATGACTGCGTCTGCACAGCTGTGTTTGCTGGCATATTTAACTCTGACTTTGGGGTTGACTTTGGGTTTGGGTCCAAACAAAAACATGGGGTTTACGTTCCTCTTACCAGCTGGAAGCACAGAGTGTTTTTACCACAGGACGGCGATGAACGACAGCATGGAAGTTGAATACCAGGTGAGTGGAAACTTCTCTCTTTGGTGTTTGTCTGTACACGGACAGAGTTTATTCTGATGTTTGCTTTAGCCGGAAAAAGTTTGTGTATAATATGTAACTCAAAAACAAGAAACGTGTTGGACTTTGGCACTGCATAGAGAGAGATAACAAAACCACTGGTGCTGCAGAAGCCATAACACAGAGGGGGAGCAAAATAACCCACAAAATGATTAATCTATCTCTATGCATTATCTCCCCACCACACACACACACACACACACACACACACACACACACACACACACACACACA